TAAATCCTTTAAACATGATGCATAAATAAATGAATGCGATACATCAGAATCAAATAATACCCTTGTCCATAAGCAAGAGAGTATAAATGTACCCTGAATAATCGACTGATCCACTGACTCAGTGTGAGGTGTGATGGTGTAGACTCGTGCATGGGTCCCTGAAGTCCTTGCCTGTAAGCTCTGTCCTCAGCCTCGCCCCATGCTTTGGCCTATCTGGCCTGATTGCGGAGTCCTTATCGTCAAGTGGTCGGGGTCTGTGCAGCACCTTCGAACTAGAACAGGTTTCCTTGGTTTATGGTGGGGTAAGGAGGAATGAAATAAATCTGTGGATGCCCCACTGATGATTGGGACTGCGATGTCCCATAACTTTGGGATCCCTGCCTCTGAGGACAATTTTTCTTCATATAGCCCCGTTGGTGGCAAATGAAACATGTCATCTGGCCTGCCTAGTAGGAAGTCCTAGAGTTTCTCCTGCCTTGGGAGAATTACCTTGACCTTGGCCTTGATAACTGCGATCCTATCCTTGAAACCCTTGTGGGATAGAAGTTTTCTGCTTCTTCCATGAACAAGAATAAGAGGATTAGTCCTCCTTTAGCTATTTCGACCATTGAGTCTAAATCTTGTAGGCGGGTGGCCCACAATCTTTCCCCGGATTGGCAATTTCAAACCATCCTCAAATCTCCTCATTTTGGCCAAGTCCGTGGGCTATATAATCATTGGTAAAACGGGCAAACTCGATGAACTTAGCCACATATTTCATCACAATCATAGTCCATTGCTTCAAATCCAAGAATTCTCGGGCTTTCGCTTGTTGAATAGCCGATGAGAAGTACTTGCCCAAGAAGAGTTCTTGGAACTCTCCCCATGTCATTGCCTTTAGATTCTTCGAGGTCTTTGCCCAATCCCACTATGGATGGGCCTCTCATTCAAGTTAGAATGTAGCTAGCCTTATTTTAGTGGCATCAGACGTGATCTTCATAGCCTCTAAGCTTTTGTTCACTTGCTGGAACCAATGGTCAATCACCATCGGATCCGCCCCTCCTATAAAAATTGATGGCTTGTCTACCTTAAAATTTTGGAGGTTACTTAAGTCACATTGGGCCACATTAGAGCTAGCTTGTGCAAAGGTAGCTGTCATTGTGTCAATAGCCTCCATAAAGGCTTGTTGGTCAAAGGCCGGTGATGGTTGGTTGTTGTTCTGCCCTTCTCCTCGACTGTTCTGATGTCCTCTTCCCCTATTTTTCATCTACAATAGAGCACTAACTTAGTATCCTAAGGTAGGGATCACAGTTGTAACATTGAGATTTCTCTCCTTACCTCCCTAGTAGAGTGTGTGCCACCACTAGTAGACATCTATACTGTGAACGTCTTATTATTTCTCTTTCCAACCCTCAAGATTATGTTTTCTAACCCTAGTGTCTCTATTCCATATATATTTAGTTATGCATATTATTCACATAACACTTAATAATACACAACATGTGGCATTTAAAATACATAACATGTAATGCACAATTGATGCAATTGTCTAAATTCATGCCCCACAAGCTCTAGGTAAATCAAGAACCTAGGCTCTGATACCAAGCTGTGATACCCCTAAAACCGGAGGTCCTTTGTTAATCCATTGATCATTCATCAACTCGCAAAATACCCATAAATGTTGTATAACTCGACACCACATCACAATATCCCCTTAACCGCGATCATAACCAACACAGAGTTCGAGCAGAATCTCCCTTCCGAGCACTCCCAAGTGCATAACCTGTGTACAATTCAATCATTTGACCATTATAAGGTTCAATATATATTAATTTACCCTTAATATTACTCCATTTATCTCCTTTGAGTAAAAGGGCTCAAGGCCCAAAAGCCTGACAAAAGTATTTTAATTTTCTGAAAATTGAAGGGGATTTACAGATAGAAATGCCCACTGAAATTCTTCTGCCAGTAAATACTCGACGTTCTACTGATAGAAGTGCCCACTAGAATTATTCTACCGATAGATACTCGACGTTCTAGAAGTGTCTTTTGAAATTCTTCTACCGGTAGATAATTAATGTTCTTCCAGTATAAATGTTCAGTTTGCCCACAATTCAATCCTTTTTCAATTCTAACTCTTCTAATCTCAAACAACAACCACCCAAACTCATATAACATAAAATTTTTACACAAAATATAGTTCATATGGGTTTGTTTTACAATCCTTATACAATGTTACATATCCAAAAATAACTACACACTTGTTTTACAAAAATGTAGTTTGAGCCACAACTCGGCTTTCTTCATCCATGAGGGCCTAAGTGAAAGCCATTCACCGGCTGTTTTTCCCACACCTGAAATGTTGTTCTCATAAAGGGTGAGCTACGCTCAATAGGGTATCTCTTAAAGGGGCTACGCCCCAACTTAGAAGCATATGAAATGCTCATATGCAATTCAACAATCAATTTTAAATATGTAATTCATAATGGAACACTCTATGTCATGTCATGTTATGAAATGAGACTCACACATACAATGTAACCTGAGCCTTCACCGGCTCCCATATCACATGCAATGCCATGCGTTTGAATTCAGGCATTCTAAGTCCCCGCCATTGATGTTACACATTTAATGACCATTATAATTTCTAGTTTTTTTTTTGGGTGGGTATTTATGGATTTTCACCAAAGGGCACTCAACCAACACAATATTTATGAATTTTCACCAATGGTTTTTCATGTACCAACACACTTTATGGGCTCAATACCAACGGAATGCGTATCCAAATCACTGGGTCTTGCACCCGAGAGACAGTTTAGCCCTTCTGGCTAACCCCGACCTATTTTCAATGCAATTTGTGCAGCTCAGTCGAACCTTGATCTAACTTTCTCGAGTTCACGCATTATCCACCAAGAGTGGTATTTAATCAAATTCATACACATACCCGCACTCATGCCATATGCCCACGAATGTGATGCTACTCATGCATATGCAATATAATGTACTATTGCATTAATATCATTATACAACCGAGTTTTTAATTGCAATATCAATATTATGTTCAACTTGTCATGAGCACAATATGGACAGTATTTCATCTCAACGATATTACTAATTGTCAATTTATATCATATGCATATAAATTACAATCTATATTCTCACAAAACATGTTATAACATTTTCAATGGAATAACCATGCTAAATCAATCTAGACATTTTATCAAACACCTTTATAGCACATAATCACGTAACACATAATCATGCCCAATCAACACATTTCTCATGAAATTACCAAACACAAGCAATTTCACCCAAAAACTCAATTCATGCAAAAAATGATTGTATACATCCTTATACATTTCTCATACTCTAGTTATACTAGAAATACATTTAGACAAGAGATTTCATCTCAAGTCATGCTACCCATTTCATATGAAACCCTAGATTGAAAATAAACCTAATTAGGAGAAAAATCCAACCTTTTGAAGTGTAATACAAGTGGCTGAAAACTCCCTAGAACCCAAAATCAAGCTTTGAAACTTATTTTCAAAAACCCCGTCTTTTGAACTTCACAAAAATTCATGCCTTTTTAGTACATAAACGTAGCCTTAGTCGCGTAAATCGACTTTAGTTCTTGGCCTGAGTCAATTTGACGAACGGTTGACCCTACATCGTAGAAAGAAACTTGAAACTCACTTGTTTTCCCTCTCCTCTTCTTCTTCTTTTCTTTTTTTCTCTCTCTCTCTCTATTAGGAAACTTGAAGGCAAAAATGAAAAAAAATATGATTTTCTTCCTTATTTATACTCCTTGGATACTTGACCCATGTTACGCCACACTCCCGCCTTTCCCCCGGTCTGATTTCATCCCGTTTCAAGTTCAGTATATTTTTATTTGAACTAACTTTAAGTTATTTTTCAGTTTTCGTAATTAATTCATGGTCGCGTGATATCCAATTGCCTCGTAAAATATAAAAAATTCGACTGTCTTGAAATTCAACAAAAATTGACTGGGCAACTAGATTTCGCGAGGCGAATCCAACAGTAAGGTTCGTTTCGTCATCTAAGTTCTGGAAAAATTCGATTTTTCAACCCGAATTGTAGTGGCTAATTACAGTTTTACCATTTTTTATAAAAAAATTAAATTTTTTCTGGGTTTTATATAATGTAACAATATGTGATTAATGAATCCTTGTAAAATAAAAGCAAAATAAAAGTTTGAATATTAATAATAAGGGTTAATTGCACCAGAGGTTTTCAAAGTATAGAATTTGTCTAATTTTGGTTTCAAATATTTCAATTGCATCATTTTGGTTCTTGAAGTATTGAATATATTTCTACGTGCTTGCTTAATCAGATAACATCCAAATTGTTAATAATTTTTAATCATAAATTTATCATGTGATACCTAAATATGAGCAAAAAATAATTTGAATAACTCTTGATTAAATTTTGGGTAACTTTTGACTAAAAATGTGTAATATGGGTAACTCTTAACCAAAATTTAGATAACTCATGATAAAAATGAATAATTTGTGTAGTTCTTTGACTAAAATTTAAATAAAAATTTGGTCAATAAATATCTAAATTATTTTTTTGCCCATATTTACATATTATACGATAGGTTTATAATAAAAAATTATTAATAATTTGAACATTGTTTACTTGAGGGATCATATATAAATATATTCAATATTTTTAAAATTAAAATGAAATAATTAAAATATTTGGAAGTAAAATGAGACAAACTCTATACTTTGATACCTCTAATATAATTAATTCTAATTCCAATAAAATGGTAGGAATTTTTAATTGTCTGAAATTACTAAATCAAAATAAAAAATAAAAAAATTGGATTGGCTTCTAGGGTAATCATACGAAAGTTCAGTATACACACCAAAACAGAATAAAAGTCCACGAAATAGTAGAATAAAAATCACAACTTTAGACGCTCTCTCCGACGTTAATTTCTTCGCCGGTTCTTCAACTTTGTCCGAAGGAGGAGACGAGTTTGCTTTAGAAAAATGTCGCGATCGCGGATCTGTATAGCATTATTGGCAACCCTAACGCTGTGCTTATTCTCATCGACGTCCGCCGACGACGTCGTCGTTTTGACCGAAGACAACTTCGAGAAGGAGGTTGGTCAAGATCGTGGAGCTCTCGTTGAGTTCTACGCTCCTTGGTATGAATCTATCCACAAATACAATTACCTTTATTCATATGCTGAAAATGGGAAATTGATTCGTATTGAGATCTGAAATAGTGATGGATAGTTGTAGGTGTAACTGATATTGGTTGATTTGTTACAACATATGATGATCCGGACTGTATTATTGGTGGATCTGTGATGTTCAATCTTTGATTATTGTTGTTGCCTCGTAGTAGTGATTTGGTCAATCTAGATCCAAGTAGTATTGAATTTAACCTCCAAACTATAATTGTTCCTCTGTAATGTTTTGGCTCTCAATTAAATACATTTGCGCAATGTTTACAATCATTTTCTATCCTTCTCTCTGTGTATGTGTATTTCTCTGTCCCACTAATTTCAGAGTTAGCTGTGAAGCTTATGTGCTATTTATTGACATTAGGAGTCATGTCCCTTATACATTGATAGATAACATCATAACAGGATGTCAACGAGGCATCTTGTGGGTAAGCATTTTCGGAAATATTTTGGTGGTTGTCGCATCAATTTTTCACCCCAACAAGCAAGCCTGCTGAAACATGTTACCCTAGCAAAAGTTTTTGTACCATTAATGTACTTGTGTGCTGGTCAAACTCCTCCCTTTTCATTTCTGTCACATTTGTGTTGCTGTTGCTCAACGTATAAAATTTGGAGGGATGGTGATGTCATTTTTTTGATGGAAGTTTGTTTATCAAATTATTTAATGATGACGCCACAAGATTGGATTTTGTGGCCTGCGGCAGGTGTGGGCATTGTAAAAAGCTTGCTCCTGATTATGAAAAGCTAGGTGCAAGTTTCAAGAAGGCAAAATCTGTTTTGATTGGAAAGGTAAATTCTTCATATCATATACCATCTCTACAAGTTTGAGGGGTGCATTTCAGAATTCAAATATATGGGTTAACAAGCTATAATTTTGTTGTTTTGGGGGAGGGGTTGATGAATAATATGATCTACCAAGAGTTGTTAGTTGTTGGTTGACTTTCGGCACTCAAAAATATTCATATTTTTAGCAACTCACTGGACAATTTACTGATTTTCATGTATTCTCTGATCTTGGTAGCCTTCAGAAAGTATTATATTTATTTTCACTTTTACTATGGTGATTTCGTTTGATTTCTTTCTTTGTGTTTGGGGGGGGGGTTTACCTCCGATAATGTAAATTTCTGTTTATCTCTCAAATTGTCACCGTTATCATATAATCTGTAATACATATAATATACTTTAATCATCCTGTGGTGTCATGAGATGATTGCAACATCAATCACACGTGTTTGCATGGGATAGATAGCATTTAATCAACATTGTTAGAACTTGGTGCCAGAGAAAAAAGTATTTTGGGTGCTCCTTGTGCCTGGTCACTCTGTCTGGAATGTGAATGCTGGTTGTGAAACAACACAGGCTTCTCAGATTATCAAATAATGGCTCTTTAGTATGTTTGTTCTTGTTAGTCCTTTATGAATTTTGAGTCATGGCTTAAAATTGAGTATTTGAAACCCTAAATTCTGTCCAATTACCTTGTTCTCTCGTCCTTTCGACCTCTTTCCCCTCTTTATTCTTCTCTTTGGAAAAAGGTCATTTACATTATATTTCTTCTATTCTTTTTGATTTGATTGTACTCCTCATTTGGTATTTTTTAGTCCAAAAATAGTTGATTATCTCCTTATCCATGCACATTATGGCCGTCACGGTGAAAAAAGGTAATGACAGTATATAAGCACAAAACTGTATTTGAAGTTGATGCTCGTGATAAGGATATAATTTTAGAGTTTCTGTGAGTTATTTGTTGTAATTAATGCTTTTGGGATGTGAAGTACATGATGAGCCCCTCTACTGTGCTGAGTGGAAACCTTGCCATGCCTATGACCTAGGTTTTTCACTGGACATGCTTAATTGAGATGAAGCCCTTGACATAAAAGGCTGATGGTTGCGTGTAGGACCTGCTTTTCCAAATGTAACGATTAACATATGTATTTATTTATTTTCCTGATCCCATATAGAGTAATAAAAACAAAATGTTTTAACACCTCTGGATGATGGATATTTACTTTGATCAATAAAAGCTACTTGTCATTTTTGCTATTTATTGGATGATTTTTGGTGTAGGTGGACTGTGATGAGCACAAGAGTCTTTGCAGTAAATACGGGGTTTCCGGGTACCCCACCATCCAATGGTTTCCTAAGGGGTCTTTGGAGCCCAAAAAGTGAGTATATTGTCTAATGGAAATTTTTTTTCATCTTAGCTTTTTCCCCCTTTATGGTTATGGAAACACTTAATGTGATATAGACATCATGTATACTTTGTTAACCCTTGAATTCTTGCATATTGTCAATCCTGCTCTTGATTCAATACTACTTTGTTCCTAAGGTATGAAAGCTCACGTACCGCTGAAGCCCTTGCTGAGTTTGTGAATAATGAAGGAGGTAATTATCAATCTTTGCAATTTGTAAAGGTTCCTTATTCTGCAGAGCCACAGAAATTTTTTAACCTTCTCGCATGATATTCTGGTTGCTAGTTCATTCACGAAATCTATCGATATCATTTTCTATTCTTTTGGTGGACTATGTAAGCAGAACAAACATCAGAGAGTTTTACATGGAACCACTGGGCATGCCATTGTTGCATTATTCATACAAAAATTGTCTTTGACCACCATTGTTCTGGAAATTCTTAGTTCCTTTGCTATACCTTGTATGCTTATCCCTCTACTGCTGGTTGAGGAAGCACAAGAAAATAAATGATTTTGTATGATATAGGTTCAGCAGCTCTTTTAAGACTGTGAAGACTTGTGGTTATAAATGTAGTGTATGATGTTAACAACTGCTTCCATTCTCTTTAGAAGGAAAAAAGAGGAAGAAAAATGTCCAATTTAGTTTTGATGTCTAAACCAGTTTATTTGTAGTTGGTTACATGATTATGTCAAATCCCTTGCTGTCCCTGAAGATATTGGTCAGTATGAATTTAACATTTCAATTTGAGTCTCTGGTTTTTTTACTAATCTAAATTATAGTTTGAAATTCTATAGTTGAACATATTCTGATAGCTTCATGTATATTATACTAAATAGTTCAGGGGTTTTATTTTTAACCTTCTACAAAACCTATAGAATATGCACGAGGGCACACTAAAAGATCGTAGCTCTCAAAGATGTTGATATCTTAGTAGATGTCAGTTTGAGAAAATATGCGGTTCAGACAAGAATGCCATTCATCATGTGTGATTTTAAATGACCTCTCAAATCTCAATAATTTGGAAATTATGCTTTGAGCCTTTATGTGATCACCTAAATAATGATTCAAAGTATTGGCCGAGTCGTATTCGACTCGGCCACCGCCGATATGAGACTGATACATGTTATACCGAACTAGCATGAGTCTTTGATGTATGGGTGTAGACTCATTATGACTCGGGAGTATCGGTTCAAATTGGGGGCTAATCTCGTTTGTATCAGACGATTTATAACAGAATCGAACTGAGATTGTGAAAATCGTTTAAAAAATCTCACAACAAAGAAAAAACCCAAAAAAAGGGGCAAAGAGAGAAGAAGTAGAGAAGACCACTAATTGTAAAAAAAAAAAAAAACTAAAATCACAGAAATTAACATGGAAATCGTGCAATTGTTTAACCCTAAATCACACCCCTTATGTCATTAGATAAAAAGAAGAAGAAATTGAGAGAAGTTATGAGACAGACATGTAAAATAATGGCAGAATCGCCTTGAATACAAGAGCTTTCTTCTTCTCCTTCTTCTTCATGAATACAAGATCTTCCTCCTCCTCCTTCTTCTTCTTCTTCTTCTTCTTTAAGAAGAGGCGCTGGCTCAACAATGCGATGCTTCTAGCAGACCAAGGTTGTTCAGCCAACGATTAACGATGGCATCGAATGAGACTCATTGTCTCGTAGGTTTTCTCCTCATAGGTTCTTTGTCTCTCGACGAACGAAGATAGGGATAGACTTGCTCGTCTGGTCTACCTTTATAGAATCTTGATTTTTATTTTATATTTTTCTTTTAGGTATCTTTTTTTTTTGAATTTCTTGAATGGTTAGATTAATTTTTTGTCCCAGAAGTTTGTTACTTAATCACTCAAATTCTCTGATATTTGAAATATTACACATAAAACCCTTGAGGTTTGTACACGCGGAACAATTAGACTCTTGCCATCAATGTCCGTCAATATATCCGTTAGTAAATTACATTTAGACTTCTTGAAGTTTATAGGTGTATAATATTTAGACCCCTCAAGTTTAAAGTATTATATTTAGACAAAAAATATTCCAATTAAAGATAAAATATTAAATATTTTAAATTTTACAATCAAAATTCATGTTCTATTATATCATTTATTGAAATAAAATTAAAAATAAAAATCTAATTTTTTCTTAAAAAATCGTAATTAGTATACAATTATACTATTTATTTGAATAAAACTAAAAAAATCATACAAGGGGTCTAAGTCATTCATAATAGAAGATGAATTTTATAACTAAAATTCATATTCAATTATGTTATTTATTGAAATAAAATCAAAAATTAAAATCTATTTTTTTAAAAAAAAAATCATAATTAGTATACAATTATACTATTTATTGAATAAAACTAAAAAAATAAAACAAGTGGTCAAACTGTAATTGACACAATATCTTCTACCTTTAATTGAGGTAATTTGATAGTTTAATTTGGTCGTTTAAATGATCAAATTAAATTCCAATAGATAGTATAATTGCATACTAATTATGATTTTTTAAGAAAAAATTAAATTTTTATTTTGATTTTATTTCAATAAATGTTATAATAGAATATGAATTTTGGTTATAAAATTTAAAATATTTGATATTCTATTTTTGATTGGAGTATATTTGGTTTAAATATAACATTTTAAAATTGAGGGGTTTAAATATTACACGCCAACAAAATTTAGGAGGTCTGAGTGTAATTTGTTAATTGATATACTAACGGATATTGACGGCAGGGGTCTAAGTGTTACGCGAGTACAAATGTCAGGGGGTCTGTGTGTAATATTTTAAATGTCAGGGGGCCTGAGTGATTAAATGACAAATCTCAGGAGGTCTGAGTGTAATTCTCCCAATTTTTTATTATTTGTAAGTTTTGTTGAATATTTTTAGGTCAGCAGTTTGTCCTTTTAGTGCTAACTTATTATAATAGATATTTTATAACAATATACTATGATATATACCTCTACATATTACTTGAATATATTAAATTAATATTTTATAAGTTATAGACAAATATTCTTTTTTTCATAAGTTTGATTTCAAAACTAAATAGTAATATGTTCAAAAAAATGGTGGTAACCTACATTTAATAAGATTTCATAGTATTTGAATCTAATAGTACTTTAAATGCATACATTGAACATTGATGATAACAAATATTTTGGATATCGCCTTGCCTTTATATTTTATTTTCATTATGTTTAATGTGCTAGCTTATGTATTTAAGACATATGATGCATACTTTTGTTGATTACATTTTTTAGGATTTTTCATGATTTTTTCTGAATTTTTTGGATCTTTTATTCAGCATTTTTCACGTATCAACCATACTATGTCATGACATTGCAGCCAATGTGTACTAGTACCTTCTGAATCGATGATTGATACCACGACTTTGAGTCGTGACCTACATCACTCTGTGTCACTCCCATTTTCTACATCATTTTCTCTGTTCGCTAGGAAACTGTCAACTTCTCGCTCATTTTGTGGAACTTATTTTCCTTTGGAACAAATAAACTTGTTAGTATCAAGCTGTCTTAAATCTGCTGCATTATGCCCTCTATGTGATCACAACTCCTCTTTTTTTTTTTTTTTCATAAGCAATTACTGTGGAACATTTATCTTGGAGAATTTTTGCTTGGATAGAGGACACCTTACATGTTTGGTTGATATTTAACAAGATTCCTTGGAGAGAGGGAGAGAGAAAGAGAAGTTCGATGAGTGGTTAGGGGATTTGGTAAGCAAGGGGGTGGGGCTCTTTTTAAGCAAGGGTTAAGAAAGATCGTAAATCACATTATTGTGTCATAGGGCTATTAGATGGCAAAACAATTCACCTAATAAAATTGTGGTTCGAATTTTTGCATACTCAAAAAGTATGTTTTCACAATTGTGAATCAAGTGCTTGGTTATTTATTGTAAAGATGGGAGTAAAGGTGGGTTGAAGGCAGGAGGACCTGGGAAAAAAAACAGACTTGCATTAATTTTGAAGGGTTTTGCAGTCACATTATCTCTTTGACCTTTTTGAAGTGGAAATTTTGGGGATTTTTTGTTTTCTCCCTCCTGTATAATTTTCTTTTGCATCTTCACTTTTCATTAGCATGATCAAGGAATTCATAAGCCTTCTTGGAGGGCTCATGGGAGGGCTAAGGAGTTGCTTCTAGCGGTATCTGGAGATAGTAACTAGTATTCTTGGTCCACGATCCCTTAATAGAGGACCTCTGTGTGCTTTCTCCTATATTGTGGTGTGCTATCATTTGTATTGCATGGAGTGCAAGGGGAGAATAAAATGGTTGTGTTCTCAAGAACGCATTAGGATTCATCCTAGTAATCATCAGTTATATAACATGTGTTCATTACTTTGCTTGTGGCAACCTCTAGCTGATCTCCAGTTGACATTGCTATATTGTTTTATCTCCAGGGACAAATGTTAAGCTAGCTACAGCTCCCTCAAATGTAGTGATACTAAATTCAGACAACTTCAATGAGGTTGTCCTGGATGAAGAAAAGGATGTCCTGGTTGAATTCTATGCACCCTGGTAAGAGTGCAATGTAATTTTGTTTACATATTTTTCATCTCTGATATGAGATGAGAATGTATTTGCACTTATTCTTGTGTGATAGATGTTGAATAGCATGCAAGCTGCTGTTTACTTGACCCAGGTGGAAAGTATGAGCTTTTTGAAGTGGTATTTAGTTGCACTTGTATCTCTGATCTATGCTTTATCATTTTGCAGGTGTGGTCATTGTAAAAACCTTGCTCCCGTAAGTGTCCAATGTCTCTTGGATGGAACTGCTGGCTGGAACCTAGTCTTTTCTTTAACCAACTTTAGGATCTTGATTTTTTTGGCTCTATTGTGTAGATTTATGAAAAGGTTGCGACGGCATTTAAAATGGATGAAGATGTAGTTATTGCTAATCTAGATGCTGACACACACAAGGATCTTGCAGAAAAGTAAGTTTATAAAAACAATAATACTTTCCTTTTCCCGTCTGAAGTTTGGGTTGCTCTAGAATATTTCAGCTTTCTTCTGTAACAAATAACAGCTTGCATACTACTGAGCTAACATGTGTTTAAACACTAATTTCAATATAGATTGTGCACAAATGCACACTTTTTTCCTTGAAATTATTTTGATTTGTTTTGACTATCAACCTTTCTCCACCATTTTCTTTCCCCCTTTTCTCTGGATGGATTTGATGAAAATATCTTGCCCATGCAGGTATGGTGTAAGTGGTTTTCCCACATTGAAGTTCTTCCCAAAGGGCAACAAAGTTGGTGAAGATTATGATGGTGGCCGAGATTTAGACGACTTTGTTAATTTTATTAATGAGAAGTGTGGCACTAGTCGTGACGGAAAAGGACAACTTACTTCCAAAGTTGGTGGCTACATTACTTAAAAACTTGAACACGACTATATGTTTCTTATTTCTTTAACCATATGTTTCATTTTGCAAGTACAGGCTGGTATAATTGCAGCTTTGGATAGCCTGGTGAAGGAGTTTCTAAGTGCTAGCCAGGATGAGAAGAAAACAGTATTTGCCCGGATGGAGGAGGAAGTCAAGAAGCTTAAGGGTTCAATGGCAAGGTAATAATAATAGCGTTTTTTTATTTTTATTTTGCCTTATAATTGCCAATATCTTGTATTGAAGTGGGTGGGGCTGGTGACAATTGCATTACCACTTCCCCTAGAAATTTCCAAGAATATGATGCTTATGGAATACGAACTGGTGTTAGTTGTTGAGTTTTTTTGAACTTGTCTACTGTCTTCCATTTTAGAAATGGCAAGATCTACTTGAAAGCTGCCAAGAGCTGTATGGATAAAGGTGCTGATTATGCCAAAAACGAAATGGAGCGGCTGGAACGCATGCTTGCTAAGGTAAACCTGAACTTCTCTTTTAGTCTGCAGTAGTTTGTTTTGTATCAATTAGGGTAACTTGCTTCCTTTATTCAGGTATTCCTCGAAATCACATTTTGATATCATCCTCCCCCCCCCCAAAAAAAAAAAAAAGAAAAACAAATGGGGTATTACCAAAAATGTGAGTTACTGGAAACATGAATGCCTTAATTTGTCAAAATATTAGTTCCAGGACAATAACTCGTTACAGAAGTCAATTATTTATGTAATAGTATCGAGATTGTGCGGATTGATGTCTAGTTAAACGGTTAAACCCTAAATTGACCTTGAGGGGGGTGAATAATGTCTCGAATGTGGGTGTAAAACTCTCTTGGCAATCTCATCATAGGCAATACCTAGAGGACCGACAAGTTTGAGCCAATCACGTTCAGTCAGAATCCTAGGAATGAATGTGTCCCTAAGGTCTCCAAGTCTAGCCTCTCTCTCTACTAGCACATGACATGATTTGGAGAAGTCCTTGTATTTCTTGTAGATTTTGGACTCAAAATTGCCAATTGTAGTAGAAGTATCACTCCTCACTCTCTTTGATACTCTAGAAGTCATCATATCAAAAACTAATTGGTAAAAATGGATGAAAATCTAGTATAGAAGGGTTTAATCGGTGTAGAAACCCATTTAGGAGATGCTTTAAAGAGTGGGTAAGATGAGAATAGGTGTGGGTAGAAGAATGAAGAAAAAAGATTTTGAAATACCTGGGGATAGATCTGAAATTTGAAAACTTCACGCTGTCGCTTGAGTGAGTTTAGAGTCCACTCAAGCGTGACTTCGGCTTTAGTGAGTGTCAAGCATGAAGCCAGCGTTGCTTTCAGTTTTTTCCTGCTAAGATGACCTGCTCCAGATTTTTGACTCAAAATGCATGTGCAGCGTCATATACTCTCCTATATGCAATGTCATTCTTCCACAACCATTCTATAAAGACACATTCGCTTTGAAAGCATGTTTTATGCATAATGTATAATTCAATAGACCAATTTTGAGCAAAGACACTGAATTTATGAATCAAATAGTAGGCAAAAATCATGATTAACTCCAGTAAAAATATGAGGAACTTTAGAAATAAAAAATTTGCATATGAAATTAATTCCTAAAGGCATGTACAATAAGTAATATATGATCAATACTATTTTTCTTCATTCAACTCATGATTTTATTTTCCATCACTCAATCCGATAATCCACTAATGGTAACTAACCAAGCTAAATGTTTATCGAATCAAAATCCTAATTCAGTCACTCCTACACATTTAATATCAATCAAAATTTCAAACTTCACGTTTTAGGTGATCTCACCATGCATTAACCCAGTCTCAAAAGTAAGCCTAGGATAAGGAGTTAATACACTCTACAAACCTCCTAAACTCCTTCAAACAAGTGAATGTAAGAAAAAGTAGTGAGCGCAGTCAACTTTAGCTGGACTTATATAACTTTTGCCACTCTCCTTCCTTTTTACATCCCTAATTTTTGGAACTTTGAGGCTTTAGAGTTTGAACAATAGAAGAGTTCTGACACTTAATAGTATATTTGACCCATCTAGCTTTTGGAATTAGGCACACCTTTTATCACAAACCATACACTCAACCATCATCCATTCCCTGGTCAATACTGAAAGCTTTCATTTGCATATCGATATGTTCCTTTCATACAATTTTTTTAAAATAATTTCTGTTTTTAGCTTATGGGATATATGGACTGTCTAGCCAAATGTCAAATTCACCTACGCAATCAAGTTCTAGAATCTTGTAAGGGCATTTGAACCAAACACTAGACTCACCTTTAATTCTAAGAAGGTGCCGATCATTTGGTGCACAATGATATTGTGAACATTTAAAAATTTGTAATTAAGTAATTATGTCCAAGTGAAGGAGACTTATCTTCAACTCATGCTCAAGTTATGCAAATGGTCACCAATGTGTCAATCATGACCTTTTCACATCAGACTAATCATGAAAACCATAAAGTCAGGCATTGATCATCACTACACAAAAAAGAAAAATCTTCTAGTATTTTTCATATATTATGAATGCAAACTACCATGAAATGCATGCAAGAAAGAAAATCCTAAACTACATGAATGCATAACCCTAGCTAAAGAAATACAATCTTTTTGGGTTTTTTTTTATTATTCATTTTTTGTTGTTTTTGCAAAATATAAAAAGCTTAAAACAGTGCATAAAATTAAGTACAGTGACATAGTCATGGACTTGACGTGGGACGGCTGTGAACCCAAAAAACAGCAGTCAAGCTGTGAATAGTCCCATGAATAGTATATTGGGGATTTGCTGTACTTCTTTATGGTTTATGGTTTATGGTTTAATGGATTGTTCGGAAAAGGGGTAGGATTTTGGTAGACTTCTTTTGAGCATATAAAGATTACAATTTCAGATATGGTTACGGTGTTTAGAACTTGAATAATTGCAGAAAAATAGGAAAAAAAAGAGGAGACCTAGGAATCATTTCTAGGGTTTTGAATTGCACTTTGCACACACCTAAGGTTTTGAATTGCATCAGACAATCCTCGAATAATCCATAAAATTATAGCATTACATCTCTATATATAAACCTCAAAAGTATCTTCTATTCCTAGAAGATTAGGATTCCAAAGTAAAAAAGACACATTAATATTACCCAACTAACTCAAAATAACTAAAAATAAGATTCAATTATGTTTAGGCAAGCTCCTAAGTAGGCTTTGCATTATCCAACATGTGTCAAATTTTGTAGTTTATCATATCTTTGAGTTTGTCCTTCCTTGAATATCTTATGGGTTGTATCATTCTCTCCTGGTTGGTGAAAACTCGACCTCGAGTTTTAAAGTATTGCATTATGAGAGTCCATAAGCCTTGAACTTACATATTTAGTTGTCCATGAAAAGCCTTAAGATGACATATCCTTTTCTTCGTGAGTTGAGAAATAAGGAGGAGATTTGGGGATTGATTTTCTCGTTTGTGTCATCGAAGTTTTCTAGAATGACAAAATCAATTGTTGAGCAAAGTGGATAGAGAGAGCATCCTTGAATTGACATTGAACTCTAGGACTTGTAGTGTGCCTTTCAATTGAATCATTCCCCAAAGTCATGGTGATATTTATTTTGCTATAACCTTAAACTTCCCTTGATCACTATTAAAATATGATCACATTGTAGGATCTATATGATTACTTAAATTTTGGGAAGTTGTAAATTAATCAATCTCTTGAGACATCGATGTTGTTGGTTGAAAGTCATTAACATGAACAATTTCACTAAGCAACTCTTTTGGCCCTATTTCAAAGCTCTTAGATATTAATTTATTCATCTCTAAAGGCAAATCTAATTCAAATATTAGTTGCTGGTTTTGCTTGTTAAATTCTACAACAAAAAAATTGTTCTAATATTCAATTTTTACCTTAGCCTTTGGACAAGTAAGTAGCAAACTTGCTTGGTGTTGTGTAGTTTCTTCCACTTAATCTACTTCTATTTAAATTATTGGATCACTTGTAATGAAACTTCTCTGGCTGCACATTAGGATGTGAAGAATTTTGATTGTTAGCCCTATTTGAAGTGATTGACTTATTTGGAAACAATAAGCAAATTGATTGATTGCTCGAAAGAGTTGTACTTAACTAAAGGGAAGAAGTTGTGTTCGTCGGACGGAGAAGACCGGGCTAATGCAGTGGCAGTTATGGAGATTCCTTCTACCTTCTAAACCCAGATGCCACAGGGATGTATCCTATCTTATATCTTAAGCACGATGGACGAGTACCCGCTCGAGCTCAAGTGAAAGTTCAACGAATCCGAAATATGGCCTTTTATTAGTAGGGTGAAGGGTTTTCTAATTTTTAACTAAAGTTGAGGTTTCAAAAGTGATATCCCTAGACTGGTAACTCAGAGCTTCCCTTTAAAGATGCTTTAGAGAGTAGGGGCGAGAGTAATCAAACTATGCAGGATCATTCTAATGCATGTATCAGGGATGATATTCCATCCATTTTTCATCAATCTTTCAAACATGCAATCTGCATCGTCAACATAAAAAGAATCCGAACAATTTCAAATTAATTATAGTCTGATTGATGTACACACATTTCATGATAAATACCCTTACCATTCCCTATTGTTTTGCAGTCAACACTCCCAAATCTGGAAATGTTAACAAAAACTTCAATGGTAAAAGAAATATGCCAGTTAGCAAAAAAATTAAGCGATAATGGCGTTTCCAACGTTTAGCTGTCGGAAGACCTTGACGTGAGTAGACCTTATAAGATCCAGAGCGTAACCTGTACAAACACAACCAATTGACTTGTAACTCCAAAAACAGGAAAGTTGAAATTCCAAAAGAGAGAATATGGAGAACCCGAAGGGACATAGGACTAAAGTCAAGTGTAACCTTATAATAGACCATATCACTTTCTATTTTAGTAAGACTGGAAAGAACTTGCTTTATTGAACTTCAACCTTCTTTCTTTAATCGGAATATAGATGAGATCAGAAAGACTGGAATATGGATGAGATCTAAAAGGCCATCATTGGGGCAAACAATGTAATAGCTTCGGTTAGAGCAAAGCCCAAAATGACATAACCAAATGATTGTTTAGCCAATGATAGATTTTGCGCCACAAAATGGATCGAGGAACTAATGACGTTTTCAATATCGACAACAACTCTCACTCAAGCAATTGTAACAGTTTTGACACCCATTGATTTTGCACCTTCTAATATCTCAAGTTGATGTCTTGACTTTATGGACTCTTTTTTAAGTATGCGACTAAATCCTTTAATGGTATGGAATTTAATGGTAGAAAATGCATTTTTAATCGATAATGCTATTAAGAAGTTCGATACCAAAATTAGGTATATCTCCATATCAAGTGCCACTTAGAATGTATGTTTCACACTACATAGTTGCCCTCAAAACTAAACTTGAATCAGGCAATTATTTGACGAGTGTCTTCTATAATTCGACTTTGCAACATTAGCTCTTCAAATCT